GACATTGATAGTGTTTGTACAGATACTACTATTTTTAGAAATGTAACAACTAAGGATTCAGTTATTGTCGTGGGTCAATGGGAGGAACAAGTCATTCTCCTATATACATACTTTTTCTTTTTCTTTTTCTTTTTAATAACCCGAAACCAAAAACTCTAGATTCATCATGAGGGTTTCATTCGGTTTAGTCAAACCATTAATAGTTATTGGATTAACGTAGCAGCTGACTGAAGAATTGTTGTTGTTGGACAATTTGACTAACGACATTAGAATCAGTGTATCTTTTAGTAAAATTATGTTAGTGTGTGTATGAATCGGCAAACTTTTGTTAATCGTTTATGAATCTGCACTATTTTATAGTTGTGTACATATAGTAAACCGGAAACTATAGCCCATGTATAAATTGACCGTTTCCAGGGGTTAATAAGATAATAACTTGCGAAATTCTTTTGTTTTTCCAATCTAAAAAAAGGATGTGTTTCGGTACTTTTTTTTTTTTAATTGAAAGTAAAATTGATTCAAACTAAAAAACGTTTTACAGTTAGTGTGGCCTTTCTTTTTTGAGTTTTTGAAATTTTAGATCGTAATGAGATTAAAAATCAAAAGAGAAAATCAAGTCTTCATCTTGAGCCAAACCCAAACCACTAGACCTTCTGCGTACCGCAAATCGCAGCATCGAATGGAAGAGACTCTATTTCGAACTTGTTTGTCAATTTGTTTAAGGCGGGAGGGAAAGATCAGATGTTTCTGTGCTTTGATAGAACGGTGTTGATGACAACATGTCTGAAAAACATTAACCTGATTAAACCTAATTTTAATAAGTGATTAGCGAAATAAAAACCTTTTTCTTAATAACTTAATCCCACTGGTTAAGCCAGCATACTAATTAGAGGGAGGCCTCAATAAGCAACATAAGAGAAATTTAAAATGCAAACAACAAGCAAAGTCAGCTAATATATACTTGAAAGCTAAGATTTTGAATAAATCCTAAAGTTAGTGGGAAGCCTCTAAAGAGAATTCCATGGACATATAATCAAGTCTATAAACATAATTAAGTCTAAAGATCTTAACATAAACCTGAAAGATGGTGTCTCTAGGTCTTTCCTTCACCCTAGTTTTTGGCTTGGCAATCTTATTCACTGTTTCTGAAGCCAACAACAACAGAAAACTTCTGCAAACTCCCACTTACTACCAACCGCAATA